TTATTCCTATGCGCCATCACACTCATTTATTTAGCAGGCCATGGAGCTCGGCTCGCCAAAGCTGATACCACCAACGCCTACAAGTTTTGCCTATCCATCCAGATTTCTAGTGATCCTTCGGAGTCTTCTGGAAAGGTCCCTATTACTTCACTGTACGCCTCACTTTCTGCTGCAGAAGCAGACCTAGGAATTTCGACTTTCTCTCCGAAGCACTATGCCGGATTTCACCAACAACCACACACTCCCTTATGTCCTTCACCTTATGGACGACTTCCTAACGTTACACCTCCATCGTACCACCGGGATCAGGATTTCCACACTAATCAAGGTTTTCACCAAACTCAGCATTCCATTTTCAGAGCAGAAAACCTCATGACCTCATTCCACCATCAAGTTTTAGGCATCACCCTTGACTCATTTCAATCTCATTCATTTCAAGCATCTCCACCCTCTACAAAATCCACCGAATCTCCCTGCTTCTTTCCAACTTCTATTAACAGATAGACGTACAAGCTTCGGCTACTTGCACTTCTAGGCCCCCTCAACTATGACATCTGGTTAATTCCTCAAGGGAAATCCTTCTTGTCCAGCCTTCTGTTTAAAACAGCAGCCATCCCATCTCTCCACAACAGCGTCATATTAGATGATGCATGCAAATGGAAATGCTCCTCTGGCAACAATTCCTCCCATCCCAGAACAGCATCTTCTATCTCTATAACAACTACAACTTTCATCTCGATGACTTCCAACTATATACTGATGCAGCACCCTCAATAGGCTTTAACAGCCATTACAATGGGCGCTGGTTTTCCTCCGAATGACCTCTGGAGTTCAGTTCCCTCAGTCCGCAGTCAAGCGCTTTCTCCACCAGATTTATGAAATATACCCCATTATCATGGCAGCCATCCTTTGGGGGCACGAATGGTCCAGAAAATCAATACCCATCTACTTAGACAATGCAGTGGTAGTTAAAATTATAAACAAGGGAAATCGTGTTCTGCTGTTATTATGCAATCATTTGCAGGCTCACTTAATATCCACCCGACTGCAATTCCTCCTCCGATCAACTCATATACCGGATACCTCATTCTCATAGCCAACTCATCGTCTTGTTTCTCTTTTCAGAAATCCAGAGCCTTAGCCCAGAATCAACATTAATTCTACACCAGCCCACTGCTGACCAAAAAATCTTACAAACGCTTCTCAAAAGCCATACTTAATCGCATTACCCCGAACGTGCTTCAGCGTACCTCACCGGCTGGAACCGCTCCAAGCTCACCATTCCTTCTATCAATTTCCTTTCCATAAATCGACATGCTGCCCTTGCAACTTAATTTCTTATGCTTATTCCTTCTTAAAAGATCCAAACGTGCTCTTTCCAAGCCTACTCATCAGGAATGAACTTCTTCTATAAACTAACCACTGGCAACAATTGCCCTGTTATCTCTCATTCTCACACATCCATGCTTACGAAACAAGAACCTATGCCAAACCACCAAACGCCTTCCACTAACCTACTTAGCCTCATCAAAAGAAAAGTGGAGCTCTAAAGCTCTTACCTGCATACTTAGCCATCTCATACGATCATGCTATCCAAATCCCAAGACTGATCAAACTTTAGACTTCATGTTCTCGCTAGCATTCTTAGGCTTTCTACAATGCTCAGAACTCGCTCTGACTCCTCTACATTCAATCCTTCTATCCACTCTTGTATTTTGGAGATTACTATCCACTCCTCAGATACTCTCATCTTCACCCTTCAAAGAAGCAAACTGACCAATTAGGAACATGGTTTCCTATCTACATCTTCTGTCCATACTCCTTCTGGGTTCTTTCGAATCTATTTTCGAATATGTCTGCTCTTGACACGCAGGCCAAGCACTTCCTAAAGATCCACTCTTCCTTACAGAAACCGGAAACCGGCCACAAGATTCAGCAACATCAGCAACCAGATGTGGAATCTCCGATGAGACTATCAGAACCCTTGGCCGCTGGTAATCTCGAGCATACCACGCCTACATCTGCAACAATATCAAGTTCTCCGTCAAGCCCAAGCTTACCTCAGCTCTTCTCAACTTAGGGGGTCCTAATCGTCTGGCCTAAATATACAAACGAGACGATAACCCCATCCTGAGTCTCTCCAGGCCATCAATTCCAGATGCCCAGATCAACCTGACCATCATCCTATCCCCTTTACCTTTTCATCCTCTTCCAACTCATCCATAACATTCTGAACAATAAAATATTCATTTACATATTTGGTTATGGTGTGGTCCTTGCTAGTGAAATTAACAATATGGTTAGTTATTTAATTTCTGTGGTATTAGTACAGCTGGTATTTCATTTGTTTGATTTTATTTTTATTGTAAAACACTTTTGCCTTGACTGTGAATGGTGCTATATAAATAAATTTTTACTTGCAGTGAAAAAACAGTGCAGTCAAGATTGGAGTAACTTAGTTACATTTTTTCAGAAGTCATGAGAATTTCACTGCGACATTTGCTGTCACTGTTCTGGCACAAATTCCTCGTGGGGGCAGGGCTAACAGAGGTGGGTTCTCATTGGCTAGTGAGGTTTTGATTGACAGCTTCTTTCCCTGGAAGTGAAGACATCAGTGTTGTGTTGTTCACACGTGTGACTAAGAATCTGTAATGCCGAGTTCACACTGCACGATTTTCAAAGTCATTGGATCACTGTTGTTTTCACACTGCACGACTATCTGGGGTAGTATTCCGTTGTTGCGGTGTTCACATTGCACAATGGATCAGCGATAGGAGGTTACACACTGCACGACTTTACAATAGGAAGAATCGCCGACAACTCTGTCTGGTCTGTAAACTATGTTCCATATAACTCCTTCCCGAACTTCCCACTGCCCTGTATCTGGCTCTCTCATTGGCTGTAGGTCATCACCGATGTATTTTTCAGTCAAAACTCATTTCAAACTCATTTTACACAGCAGGATTTTGAATCACCCACAGGTCCAGATATTTAGCATGACAAATATTTCGCCGATTTTCTATGATTGCGTCTTTGATATTTCACACTGTGTGATTGTCACTCGCGTGAACGATTTGCCTCCGATTTTGGACCGTTGTTGGCAATTTCACAAAACCTGTCAACTTCAGAAGCGTAAAACTCAGATGCATTTGTAAGTCCAGATCGGCAAAAGAAAGAGGAGAAAACAGTGAGCAAAGCATGCAGTGTATTTAAATTGAAAGTCAAAAACTTGCCTGTTTTTTTTTTTTTTCCAGTTTCGAAGACATTTTATTTATTTCTCAGTTTAGATTTTATTTGTTTCTTGAGAAGTTACGTTCAAAATTAATGGCACAAATCGGATTCATATTTTAGCTGTATTTTAAATTATGCCTTGCATTTTGTGTTTTAGGATTACAGGAAATGTCTGTAAACTTATCATCTGACAATGTCCTGGCAGAAAATTAGCATTACCCTTTCCATTTTTTGACATTTTTTTTTTCTTACAGTCTACTTAAGTGATCAACAATTATAGGTACAAGCTAATAATAATGTGTTTCATATAAACAATTATTATTGAACAATGCAACTTAATTCACATGTGATATGTGTATTGCTAGGCATCTTTCTCCAGCTCTCTTCAAGCTGATATGCTGCTTGGCTGGCTAGCTAATCAGTGGTTTCCTCTTTTTGTGTGATTTAGAAAACAAAAATGGAGTGGGTGGACTTTTACCATTATACACCCTGCTAACACAATCATGTTCAAATAGCATATAAAAGTGAATTTTGCATAATAGGTACCCTTTAAAAAATCATATTGCAATTTCAATAAAGTTTCTAGCTCATGGACCCAAAAATGAATTGTAAACCAGCACATTTTTTGCTCACTCCAGCCCCACCATTAGCCTCACAGGCACTAATCCTGCATTTAAATCATTGCTATTGCTGAACATATGCTAATATAAAACAGAGAACAGGATCATGCCAGGGCATCTTCCAGGATTTACAGGATCTGGGACGAAGGCCAAAACATCAGTGGCTTGTTGAAGGTCTGACAGATTAACATTTGATATAAGCAAAAATTATTTTAAGTATTTTTGAGATTACCCAGATCACCTCAGATGTGGTACTGTATTAATGAAGTAAATGAACATCTGGGTATGATGCCAGTGCTTGTTTGTGCCTCTATTTTCTCCCTCCTTTCTCTCATCATATGGTCCATTCCTGGAAGTAAATAGGTAGAGGTTAACATTACTTATTTACAGGATCTGGGACGAAGGCCAAAACATCAGTGGCTTGTTGAAGGTCTGACAGATTAACATTTGATATAAGCAAAAATTATTTTAAGTATTTTTGAGATTACCCAGATCACCTCAGATGTGGTACTGTATTAATGAAGTAAATGAACATCTGGGTATGATGCCAGTGCTTGTTTGTGCCTCTATTTTCTCCCTCCTTTCTCTCATCATATGGTCCATTCCTGGGTATGTAAAGTAAATAGGTAGAGGTTAACATTACTTGCTTTCTGTCTCACACATATAAACAATTAGTAGTAGTAGTATTGCTCAATGTTCTAATGCTTTATGGTCTTGTTTGCCTTGAAAATATCTAAGAGATGACTATTTCAATAATTAAGAGCCTGGCGAAAGGAAAATTATGTCTTTGTGATAACAGGTAAACAGTATAAAAGTCTCAGTCCACCTACTGTCGTAACATTGTAAATTAGGCTTATAAAAATGAGGTATTAACTGACATAAAATGTATTAGGTAAAAACATTGGGACATTACAGTGAGCATAAGTGTACAGTATTATGATGAGTTGTACAAACACAAAGTTTTTGGTTTGATTTGGAATGGCTATTTAGCAGCTGGCTTTGTTTTAAAATTTTACAAAGCAACTTTTCGATTTTAAAGCTGAATATCTGGCCATTTATGGTGTCAGATGTCCAAAAGAGCATCCAAACCACGACTGATTAATAGTATCCATTAATGTATCCATTTGTTCCAACTGTCTTTTTGAGCAGGTTTCTTCAGAACAACAAAATTCAGATGGTCTCAAGCCGTGCCTTCAGTGGGTTATACACTCTAGAAAAACTGTAAGTCCTTCTTTTTTCTTATCTTTCAGATCAGCTTTTTGAAAAGATTATAAATATTGACTGTTTTGATCAGTGCAATTTTATTATCCACATTGGGACATTACAGTGAGCATAAGTGTACAGTATTATGATGAGTTGTACAAACACAAAGTTTTTGGTTTGATTTGGAATGGCTATTTAGCAGCTGGCTTTGTTTTAAAATTTTACAAAGCAACTTTTCGATTTTAAAGCTGAATATCTGGCCATTTATGGTGTCAGATGTCCAAAAGAGCATCCAAACCACGACTGATTAATAGTATCCATTAATGTATCCATTTGTTCCAACTGTCTTTTTGAGCAGGTTTCTTCAGAACAACAAAATTCAGATGGTCTCAAGCCGTGCCTTCAGTGGACTATACACTCTAGAAAAACTGTAAGTCCTTCTTTTTTCTTATCTTTCAGATCAGCTTTTTGAAAAGATTATAAATATTGACTCTGTTTTGATCAGTGCAATTTTATTATCTTTTATTAGCATCTGCGCCTTCATGAAAAGAGAGTGTGTGGTCATGATTTTTATATTTGAGGGATTTATGGTACTTTTTATTATTTATTTGCCTCAAAGTTATTCATATTTTTTAGTGCTGGGCAACGATTAATCACGATTAATCACATCCAAAATAAATGTTTTTGTGTACATAATATATGTGTGTGTACTGTGTATATTTATTATGTATATAAATACACACACATGCATGTATATATTTAAGAAAAATATGTTATGTTTATATATTAAATATATTTATTTATATATAACAAATTATATGAATATAAATATATACATGTAAATACTTTCAAATTTTTGTATGTATTATATTTTTATATAAAATGAAAACAAATATGTAAAATTCACTTTTATTTATTTTTACTTAAAGAGATAATTCATGGTAAATTTGCAATGCGTAAGTGGAATATTTCTGCCACCTGGTGGAAAACACACTATTAAAATGAAAATGTCATGATAATTCCACAATATCCAATAGATGGCAGAAGAGGATCACTCATTGTCACGTTTACCTTTTCGACTCTGCAATATAGTTCTTTTCACATGTTTTGAGTTTTGTGATTTATACTTAGACTCATAAAATCACTATTATAACATTTATAAATCATCTTTTTGTCAAATTTCAGCATTGTTTTGAACTGAAGATTGTACGGATTTACGTGAATCATACAAATGGCCTATTTTGAGTTCACAATGGGAATTTTCAGCGAAAGCTGACTAGTTTTTCATCCTTGTTAACCGTCTTCTCAGTTTCTCTCAAATGTAAATCAAACGCTTATTCATTCACAAACATATCATAACCTTTTCGTTTTATTTTTTGAGCAATAGAGATACTCACTGATATTATCATTATTCACTTTGCCCCTTTAGGCAACAACGTTAAATGTTGAATGACTTAATGACTTACAATGAAAAAAATAAATAAATAGGGTAAGCTTACCATTCTCTGTTCACTTGGACATTGCTGTCCTCATTTTAATGCATTGTTTTTCTTTTCCTTTTCTTTTCTGCGCCCCATAATGTTCATTTTGGTCATGTGTCTGGACATTGACAGTAATGTGTTTGAATGCTGAGCGGTTGATATGTACTCATTTTATAATAAATGCATTTTTGAACTCATTAAAACTCATTATTTTTAACAACTGATTATTTATAACATTTTAGATGATTTCCACAAAAAGATTTTGGCAAAATGGTGCACTGCATATACTGCATACCCCATTTTTGCGCCATTGTTTGAATATTGAACAATTTACCACACTTGCACGAGATTGTGGCATGATCAATTATATTTATTTCTTCTGTTATTGCTTTAGGTGTGGAGCACAATGGCATCTTTGGGCTATAGATCTCTTTCTGTTTGTGGGGCCAAATGGGGACTGGCTAATTTTTTTAAGGCGGTTTGAATGAGCTCCTTGCGACTAGAATATAGTAATTGTCTTTCCTTTTCAGCAGCTCTGAGATTGTTTTGGTTCCAGAAGTGATGAAGGACAAGTCTAATCCCGAGATGATGAAGATATATGATGTTGTATATCATTAGGGAGAGTCAGCTCTGGATGATAAATGACATCTTTCACAGTTTTGTAGGAATTACAGTCTTTTACCTTGGCTTTTCTGTTCCAATCTGTTTTTAGTTCATTTAAAAACATCTCAGAAGCAGCACAGTGTGAGACAGAAATTAGTTTTACAGCGCTCGTATTCATTTGGATTCCTAATAGGGCAATTTATTAATTTTATGTCTGTAAATCCATCCTTTGGACAATTTAATACTTAACCTTTTTAATACTAAATCTTTTTCTATCAATTTCAAGTATGTGTCCCTAATTAAACATGGTATTTTATGCAGGTTTCTCAGCCAAAACCACATAACCTATTTAGGACCAGGTGTATTCAGAGATCTACACAAATTAGACTGGCTGTGAGTATGTATCGCATCACATTTAATGAGCTAGAAAAGGGAAAATGGATTTTCTTAGTCTTTTGCATCAAATATCAGTCACAACATAAATGCAGGTAGAATGTTGAGACCATGATCAACTGGAAACCATCAGTTAGCAACTATCTGAATTTTTATGTACTTTAAAGAATTTTTTGCTTAAAGTCTCATCAAGTTCATGCATTTTGAAGCATTTATTTCGTTCCATATAAAAAAAGTAATGACTAAAACAATACAGTAACAGGCATATTTATTGTATCTGTCATTTTGTTTAGTTTTTCACTGTCATTTTTAAAATTTCATAAGTGTATTTTTATATTTCAAATGTTTATTTTTATTTTATTCAGTATTTCTATTAATATTTTGTAATATTTTATTACAAAATTGATTACAATAAATTTTAGTACAATATTTTATTACACAAATTTTTTTTTCATATAGTTGTTTTGGAGAAGCACTGTCTCCCTTGGTAAATATGATGCTAAAAACTATAATGCTTAATTAAATTAATCAGAATCATAAGCATAATCACACAGAAAAGATGTGGTCTGTGGAATAGCACTGACTAGTACAGTTTGGCTCTGGAAAGTGCAGACAGTTTTTGCAGAAAGTAGGTGAGAATTACTTGGGTGACTTGTTGGTTGACAAACACAGACAAAGGTTGAACAGATTCATGCAGTACTAGAACAAGTGGCATCAAGATATTTCAAGTTGAAATCTGACATTCTAACAATGTATTTCTTTGCTTAACATTTTGTAAAAAGACTTTTCAGTATTATTGTGTTTTTTCCCCCTCAGAGTATTGGATCACAATCCACTTAAAAGTGCTACCTGTGATACTTTCATCGGTCTGAGGTCGCTGACATTTCTGTAAGTATCTTGCTGTTTTAAAAAATGTTATGGTCATTCTCTTTGTGGAATTTCATTTAATCAGCTTGTCCTTACTGTTATCTCTTTGAGGAAAATGTCAAATTTAGTGAAGCTTGTCCCTGTTTTTGATCCTACTGTCTGACATGTTTTATGAAGTTATAGTTGAGCATTACTGTCTTTTTTGTTTTTCTTACTTTGTGTTTGCTTGCTTACTGTGCACTAAATCAATGCAATGGCACAATGCCCACAATGATTTGAAATGATTAGCAGTACTTTTGCGTTCGCTTGTCAACAAGTCAACAGAAAGGCACCTTGTTGTTCAAGTAACAGCTAAAGCAATCTACGGCTCACTAACCCTGAAACACAGCCAATTTTGTTTCAGCAAAAAGACGCAACAAACTATCTCTGCGACAACTTTTTGATCTTTTCACCGTAACACAGAACTGTCTGTACCCACAAGATGGCAAAAACATTTTATATTTCAACATGTGGGTTGCCTGAAGGCCATTGTGCAGCCATTCTTACAAGTAGTAGGAAATTCATTATCATAGTTCCTCATCAGAATGTCTTTAATATCGCTGAAAATGTCCTCTGGCTTCCAGTTCCACTGCTTTGCCAGAAATGACTAGAGTACAAAATGAAATTTATTCCCATCACAACTCTTTTTGTTCATTTACCCCCCTCTCCTCACTCTTTTTATTTATATTTTATCTTTTCCTCTTTTCCGCCTCATTTTATGATCACTTTCTTATAATTAATTTTCTATTCTGATTAATGTCTTCTTTTATGTGTTCTATGGACTGTCAAAACCTGTTTTCTGTGGGGCTATAGACATTTTGCTAAAAACAACAGCAAAAATACAGTGACTTTATTGTATTTTTACGGGGTTTGTTTTGTCTTTCATCATGAAAATCCTTTACCTTTTACACACTTTTTAGTGAATATAGCATATATACTATACATAGAATATACATGGATTTGATTAATTTGATTCCTTCCCTTTATTTTTTAAAGTTTTTAGTAACATAATATAATAATACATTAACATAATATTCTCCAGGTTGTGCATCAGCCCTCTCACAATCATATATTTTTTCTTCTTTCTTTTCTTTCTACTCCATAAATAAAAAATATTCCTTATTTTATCTTGTTTTTTTTTCACACAGTATTTCAAAGCAAACGCCTGTGGCATGCAGACTGCACAGACTTTGTGGCCATGTTTACAATTCCTTTAGTGAACCGGGATCTAAACAAACTCAGAGACAGTGTGTACAAATGTGCATCTTTAGTCAACTCCCCCATAATTATCATTTTTTGTTTGTCCATCACAGCTCTATGAATAAATATATGGCATGATTTCACATTATATTTTATGTCACTTTCAGCTTGTCAAGAATAATTGAATGACTAAATCATGTTTCATGAAGGTTTAATTTATGTTCCTAGGTTTAATTATGTTAATAAAAAACAGAGTTTTCTCAGGGATGGCTAACTAGTAATAGAGATATTAAACATCACTGCAAAGAACAGTCCCCTGTGAGATTACCTTTCATGAATTAATATATATATATACAGTATATATATATATCTGAAGTCATCCCGAAAGAGATTATATGCTTGCCTGGAATGTTTTCTCCAGTTCATTTCGCTTTGTGGTATGGTATAGCTAAAATGACGGTAGTATGTCTCTTGAATGGTTTCCAGCATTTAGTTTTTCACTGTCATTTTTAAAATTTCATAAGTGTATTTTTATATTTCAAATGTTTATTTTTATTTTATTCAGTATTTCTATTAATATTTTGTAATATTTTATTACAAAATTGATTACAATAAATTTTAGTACAATATTTTATTACACAAATTTTTTTTTCATATAGTTGTTTTGGAGAAGCACTGTCTCCCTTGGTAAATATGATGCTAAAAACTATAATGCTTAATTAAATTAATCAGAATCATAAGCATAATCACACAGAAAAGATGTGGTCTGTGGAATAGCACTGACTAGTACAGTTTGGCTCTGGAAAGTGCAGACAGTTTTTGCAGAAAGTAGGTGAGAATTACTTGGGTGACTTGTTGGTTGACAAACACAGACAAAGGTTGAACAGATTCATGCAGTACTAGAACAAGTGGCATCAAGATATTTCAAGTTGAAATCTGACATTCTAACAATGTATTTCTTTGCTTAACATTTTGTAAAAAGACTTTTCAGTATTATTGTGTTTTTTCCCCCTCAGAGTATTGGATCACAATCCACTTAAAAGTGCTACCTGTGATACTTTCATCGGTCTGAGGTCGCTGACATTTCTGTAAGTATCTTGCTGTTTTAAAAAATGTTATGGTCATTCTCTTTGTGGAATTTCATTTAATCAGCTTGTCCTTACTGTTATCTCTTTGAGGAAAATGTCAAATTTAGTGAAGCTTGTCCCTGTTTTTGATCCTACTGTCTGACATGTTTTATGAAGTTATAGTTGAGCATTACTGTCTTTTTTGTTTTTCTTACTTTGTGTTTGCTTGCTTACTGTGCACTAAATCAATGCAATGGCACAATGCCCACAATGATTTGAAATGATTAGCAGTACTTTTGCGTTCGCTTGTCAACAAGTCAACAGAAAGGCACCTTGTTGTTCAAGTAACAGCTAAAGCAATCTACGGCTCACTAACCCTGAAACACAGCCAATTTTGTTTCAGCAAAAAGACGCAACAAACTATCTCTGCGACAACTTTTTGATCTTTTCACCGTAACACAGAACTGTCTGTACCCACAAGATGGCAAAAACATTTTATATTTCAACATGTGGGTTGCCTGAAGGCCATTGTGCAGCCATTCTTACAAGTAGTAGGAAATTCATTATCATAGTTCCTCATCAGAATGTCTTTAATATCGCTGAAAATGTCCTCTGGCTTCCAGTTCCACTGCTTTGCCAGAAATGACTAGAGTACAAAATGAAATTTATTCCCATCACAACTCTTTTTGTTCATTTACCCCCCTCTCCTCACTGTTTTTATTTATATTTTATCTTTTCCTCTTTTCCGCCTCATTTTATGATCACTTTCTTATAATTAATTTTCTATTCTGATTATTTTATGTGTTTATGTGTTCTATGGACTGTCAAAACCTGTTTTCTGTGGGGCTATAGACATTTTGCTAAAAACAACAGCAATGACTTTATTACTTTATTGTATTTTTACGGGGTTTGTTTTGTCTTTCATCATGAAAATCCTTTACCTTTTACACACTTTTTAGTGAATATAGCATATATACTATACATAGAATATACATGGATTTGATTAATTTGATTCCTTCCCTTTATTTTTTAAAGTTTTTAGTAACATAATATAATAATACATTAACATAATATTCTCCAGGTTGTGCATCAGTCCTCTCACAATCATATATTTTTTCTTCTTTCTTTTCTTTCTACTCCATAAATAAAAAATATTCCTTATTTTATCTTGTTTTTTTTCACACAGTATTTCAAAGCAAACACCTGTGGCATGCAGACTGCACAGACTTTGTGGCCATGTTTACAATTCCTTTAGTGAACCGGGATCTAAACAAACTCAGAGACAGTGTGTACAAATGTGCATCTTTAGTCAACTCCCCCATAATTATCATTTTTTGTTTGTCCATCACAGCTCTATGAATAAATATATGGCATGATTTCACATTATATTTTATGTCACTTTCAGCTTGTCAAGAATAATTGAATGACTAAATCATGTTTCATGAAGGTTTAATTTATGTTCCTCCACCTTAATAAAAAACAGAGTTTTCTCAGGGATGGCTAACTAGTAATAGAGATATTAAACATCACTGCAAAGAACAGTCCCCTGTGAGATTACCTTTCATGAATTAATATATATATATACAGTATATATATATATCTGAAGTCATCCCGAAAGAGATTATATGCTTGCCTGGAATGTTTTCTCCAGTTCATTTCGCTTTGTGGTATGGTATAGCTAAAATGACGGTAGTATGTCTCTTGAATGGTTTCCAGCAGCCGGCTTGCAATTTAGCCACTATATGCACAAGCTTAGCTTGCGGGGTCTGTATTTACAGAAAATTATTCTTTGAGACTAATGATGCATTCATATTGGTGTAACACTCCGCACTCTGTACTAGACTGCTAAATAGACAGAAATGTAGAACAGGGCACTTTAATAGTGTTAAAGTTTTTAGTGTTAAGTAGTGTTAAAGTCCATTTATTTCTGTACATGTGCATCTTGATTAGGGAGAGTAAAAATAAGGCCTTTATTTGGAAATATTTGGTACTCTGAGAAGGTTTTTTTAATGCTGTGTAAGTGTCTGTATATCTTTGTATGCACGTATTTATTCCTGCATGCCCATTAGTTTATTAGTCATCAGGCTCTTTGGTTTATTTGAATAGGTCATTCTAAAGTTAACGAAAAGAGAGAGTCTGTAACACTTAGTGTGTGTGGTCTCTGAACTCCAGACAAATGATACCTCATTATAATCCTCTCTAGTGTTTTGAATTTAGAAAATCTCACTCGGTATAAATCATATCAGCACATCAGCGAAATTCCAGAGCTGTCCACATAAAACCACTTAAAGGGGTCCTATTATGCTCTTTTACAAAGTCTTGATTTTGTTTTGGGGGTGTACTAGAACATGCTCTCATGCTTAGTGGTTCGAAAAACGCATTATTTTTCACATAATTTACATTATTAAAATATCTTTCTCCCCAGCCTGGCACAAACGGTTCGATTAGTTCCGGCTTTGATGAAGGTCCGCCTTCCGAAAAACAAAATGTGTTGTGATTGATTAGCTGTCCCAGTGCATTGTCATTGGCGAACAGCTTAGACGGTGTTTCAGTACTGCCCCACCCCTTGCTCCGTCTTTCAACAAAAGCTTTTTGGCGAATCCGGCACTGTACTCCCTCATGTTGTGGAAGCTGTCCTCAGTAAAATGCGCAGCACACAATAGCAAATTGGGGTTATAATGCTCAGGAACAGAGTTAAGAAGAAATTGCAACCACTGTTTCCTGACATCATCCGCTTTCGGAAGCCCAAACAAAGACGTTTGGGCACAGAGGTGAAAAAAAACAGCATTTCAGGCGGTCGCACACCGGACGCCACGTCTTTAAAATTCGAATACATTATTTTCTATTAGTGTAGGCACACCGTTCGGCGTCTGTCCATGGCACCCAGCTAACGTCGTGTTGTACTTGTTAGAATTGTTCTAGACATGCTGAAACTTTGACGCTACAGCACAGCATTGATATCACAAAGCCCGGAAACCAACGCTGTAGTCCAAACGAGCCGGGATTTTTTTTAAACAAAATATCTCCCTTTTACTCTGCAGCAGCACTTCTTCGTCGTCGTCTCGTCTGATGCGCTCACTCAACCAAGCGTTCTAACCACAATCTCGCCCCTCCCCACCCCCCAACCATTCGAATGTCTGTAGGCGGGAATTATTTTTAATGATATTCTAATGAGCCGCTTTGTGATATCACAGAGCCCGGAAACCAACGCTGTAGTCCAAATGAGCCGGGATTTTTTTTTAAACAAAATATCTCCCTTTGGTGTGGATTTTGAGATTTTTTACTTTCTAGATCTTTTTTATGCCCAAACATACACACTACACACTGACTAAAATTAAAAACGTGAAAAGGCATAATAGGACCCCTTTAATATAGCTTAGGCTGCTGTCAGCGGTTACTTTGCTTAGATGAACCCTGTAGAGAAGACCACACTCAAAAGCTTTAAAGATGTGTTCGCTCAAGTTTTATAGTCAACAATTACCTTAAAGCCTGATTTTTCTTAGACAGGACACCCACGGACTGCCCCCCAGGCCAAATTACTGACCGTCTGATGCATACTGCACACAAAACTGGAAAGCATTTTCTGTGTCTGGCAAGCTTTAATCTGATTGGCAGATTTTAAGCAGCTTCCTGGAGTAAGGGCACACAGGATTTATTATCAGTCTACTTGGAAACAAAGTCATGTTTACGAGGTACCGGGTGATACAACGAGTGCTTTTGGGGATGAAATAATATCTAGATCTGCCAGTTTTTCAGGTTAGTGAGAACAAAACAAACTGTTTTCTTTTTTAACATGTCAGTCAAACACTTGTTTATAGTGCACAATAGGCCAGATTAAGCTGCTTGTGCTATTTAGCACATGCAGGTCTGACTACATTGACTGTCACAAATCTCGAGTTAACAATAAAAACTCCTCTCAAAGTGCCTGTATCTTTGCCAAATGTGTCGTTTGTGAATTTTTGGGCGTCTCTCCCTTCATAATGAGCACTTAGGACTCATTTTCACCTTTTCTGTGGACAGTTCACTCTGGTAATTATAGTCAGTTCAGAAAGAGACTGACAATGGACATCATTACGTTCGCTGTGATTTCTGATGTTACCTATGCAAGCAGCTCAATCATGCTGCAATACTCTCGCCACTGAATGACAATTTGCCATCTGCTAGCCCAGCCTGACAGTTCTGAGATAAAAGCTATCAGCGGTACTAGCAAAGTCAGGCACCTCCTCTCGACAAGGTGCTCGCTGAATCCCCTTGCTCCGTCTTTCAACAAAAGCTTTTTGGCGAACCCGGCACTGTACTCCCTCATGTTGTGGAAGCTGTCCTCAGTAAAATGCGCAGCACACAATAGCAAATTGGGGTTATAATGCTCAGGAACAGAGTTAAAAAGAAATTGCAACCACTGTTTCCTGACATCATCCGCTTTCGGAAGCCCAAACAAAGACGTTTGGGCACAGAGGTGAAAAAAAACAGCATTTCAGGCGGTCGCGCACCGGACGCCACGTCTTTAAAATTCGAATACATTATTTTCTATTAGTGTAGGCACACCGTTCGGCGTCTGTCCATGGCACCCAGCTAACGTCGTGTTGTACTTGTTAGAATTGTTCTAGACATGCTGAAACTTTGACGCTACAGCACAGCATCTCTTCTTCTTCGTTTTCTCTGATGCACTAACTCTGCAGCAGCACTTCTTCTTAATCGTCGTCTTGTCTGATGCAGTCACTCAACCAAGCGTTCTAACCACAACCTCGCCCCTCCCCTCCCGCCAACCATTCGAATTTCTGTAGGCGGGAATTATTTTTAATGATATTCTAATGAGCCGCTTTGTGATATCACAAAGCCCGGAAACCAACGCTGTAGTCCAAATGAGCCGGGATTTTTTTTTAAACAAAATATCTCCCTTTGGTGTGGATTTTGAGATTTTTTACTTTCTAGATCTTTTTTATGCCCAAACATACACACTACACACTGACTAAAATTAAAAACGTGAAAAGGCATAATAGGACCCCTTTAATATAGCTTAGGCTGCTGTCAGCGGTTACTTTGCTTAGATGAACCCTGTAGAGAAGACCACACTCAAAAGCTTTAAAGATGTGTTCGCTCAAGTTTTATAGTCAACAATTACCTTAAAGCCTGATTTTTCTTAGACAGGACACCCACGGACTGCCCCCCAGGCCAAATTACTGACCGTCTGATGCATACTGCACACAAAACTGTAAAGCATTTTCTGTGTCTGGCAAGCTTTAATCTGATTGGCAGATTTTAAGCAGCTTCCTGGAGTAAGGGCACACAGGATTTATTATCAGTCTACTTGGAAACAAAGTCATGTTTACGAGGTACCGGGTGATACAACGAGTGCTTTTGGGGATGAAATAATATCTAGATCTGCCAGTTTTTCAGGTTAGTGAGAACAAAACAAACTGTTTTCTTTTTTAACATGTCAGTCAAACACTTGTTTATAGTGCACAATAGGCCAGATTAAGCTGCTTGTGCTATTTAGCACATGCAGGTCTGACTACATTGACTGTCACAAATCTCGAGTTAACAATAAAAACTCCTCTCAAAGTGCCTGTATCTTTGCCAAATGTGTCGTTTGTGAATTTTTGGGCGTCTCTCCCTTCATAATGAGCACTTAGGACTCATTTTCACCTTTTCTGTGGACAGTTCACTCTGGTAATTATAGTCAGTTCAGAAAGAGACTGACAATGGACATCATTACGTTCGCTGTGATTTCTGATGTTACCTATGCAAGCAGCTCAATCATGCTGCAATACTCTCGCCACTGAATGACAATTTGCCATCTGCTAGCCCAGCCTGACAGTTCTGAGATAAAAGCTATCAGCGGTACTAGCAAAGTCAGGCACCTCCTCTCGACAAGGTGCTCGCTGAATTAACTATTTTGGCGTGGGCCTTCATGAGGCAAGCTTTATTCATGTCAAGCACCTGTGGCTCTTGATCAAGTTGTTTTGTTGTTGTTGCAGGCAGAGCAGTGGGATGAGTTTTCCCAGTCGTCAGTGTACACGTCGTTTTCCTCTCCTGAAGTCAGGATTTATACGTATTTTTAATTTACAGCTGTTTTTTTTCTTTTCTTTTCCTTGGCTTATCTTTCCTCGCAGGGACTTTGCTGAGAACCATGTCGAGTTGCTGAATTATTCCACTCTGAAGACCTGCACCGAGCTCACAGTGCTGTAAGTGTTTTCATTTGCATTTACCCTCAGCCACAATCCACTGTAACGTCTTATTAGTTGGTTTCATTGTTTTACATGATGGCTATACATATATTGATGCCAGCATCACAATTTAAAATGGCAACATGGCAGTGAGTTTGATTTAATAGTCAATTTAATTGAATGTGGTACAGATGTCTGTTTTTGTTTACAATGTCGGTTTTGGATCTCAGACATGTTTTTTTTAATCCTCGGTATATCTCTAAAAGGAAATGCTTTTTCGTGGTTATTCATCAGCATGTGAGTGTCTGCAAGCTTTAGGGAGCCCTTTTACATTACTGTAAGGTTACAGTTAACAACAGAGCACAGCTATGACCGCTTCACCCAATGGTTTTGGGTATCACTGCACAACACCCTTAGCAACCACCCTTAGTAACATAAACAATTAATACTATAGTCAAAACTGTTCCATGTATTATGTATTTCAGCAAAATTAACTGTTTATTTATTTAATTAAGTATGAGTGACCCCTGCTGGTGTTGTGTTGCATCATTCATCTTTCATTTTGAGACCATGGCCTTCTCCCATCAAAGAAACTCTTCTCCTGCGGGGAAAAGTTGACATGTGTGTGCATCCGTGTCGAAGCCCACAGTTTCCGAAGTGAGGAGGAAATATTACTGTATTTATTCGTTTTCTGTTTCAGGTATGATTCTGTATGTCCATATGTCCATCAGTTTACACTGTAATGACGCTTACAAACTCGCACTGTGCTGCGAATCGGTCTGTTTTAACCACGTTGGGGCAGTCGTGGCCTGATGGTTAGAGAGTCGAACTTGTAACCTGAAGGTTGCAGGTTCGAGTCTGTACCAGCAGGGATTGTAGGTGGGGGCAGTGAATGGCCAGTGATCTCTTCCACCATCAATAACACGACTGAGGTGCGAACCCTTGAGCAAGGCAACGAACCCCCAACTGCTCAGCAAAAATGGCTGCCCTCTGCTCCAGGTGTGTGTGTGTTTGTTCACTACTCGCTGCTGTGTGTGTGCATTTGAATGGGTGAAATGCAGAGCACAAATTCTGAGTATGGGAGACCATATTTGGCCACACATAACGTCCTTTCCTTTCCTTTTGTAAATTACTGCCATTTTGCAGTACACCAAAGCAAACTCACATCGTCTACCACAGACTGAGAACTAGCTTTGCCTAAGCTCATTTGTAGCATACATCTGCATTTCAATCAAAAATGGTGTGTTGACATTATTGATGCCAAAAAACTGATGGTCTTCAGAAGACTTTGAATTTAGCAGACGAGTGTTTCATGTCCTTTTTGTACCTTTAAAAATTCTGTTTAAAGAAAAAACGATTTGGAATTTGATCAGGAAATAATCAGAATTAACATTTTTGGCTGACATATTCCATTTACTTTTGCAGGAACATATCCCATAATCCTTCACTCCATATTCATGCCAGCTACTTCGATCACCTAGTCCAACTTCAGTCTCTGTAAGTATCAGCACTGCATGATCTGCTTTTCAAAAGAATGTTTTTTAAGACCCTATTAGTAGGTGTTACATGAAATACAACATTCATGTGTTTAACAGAAGTTTGGAGGGCATTGAAATTCCTGATATAACCACCAAGATGTTTCTTCCCATGGGGAACTTGTCCCACATGTATGTACTTCTCATTGTGTGGTCTGCTTATTAAGCTGCATAAGCAGGATGCTCAGCTATAATATGTTGTTTGTGCATTTCTCTCTCTCTCTCTCTTTTTTCACTAGCATTTTCTATTCTTTTGACTTATCTTTTTATTTATCATATATATATATATATATATATATATATAAAACCCTGCGTTAACTGAGACTTGTCACAGCACTTGCATATTACTGCTCTTTTGTTGATTTTGTTTGCTTCTATTTTCCTAATTTGTAAGTCGCTTTGGATAAAAGCGTCTGCTAAATGACTAAATATATAATATAAACTTTAATTTATGTAATTGAATATTACATATTGATTTTTACATATAATTCATTAAATTAAAAAGTGTATATGTGTGTGTAGGAGTGCAATTAATTCGATTTTATATTTGATTTGTAACTTTTTATTATACATATTAATTATTGATGTACTGAATATAATTAAATTGTAAGCGTGCAGACAAAATAATCTGAATGAATGATTGTCCTGTTGAGCTGCATGATACTACTCTCTTCCCAAGATGTGTCAGATGAAGGTCATTGTGATCACAGAGGGTTGTTATTTACTGGTGTCACATTCACAGTTCACAGTCTCTGTCTATGCTTGTTCTGTTCATCTCAGCCGTTTCAGTGTGTTCCGTAGGAACAGGAGCTTGGCCTTTACCTTTGACTGTTTGCTGACATGAATAGTCTCCCTGTGCTCACCTTTGCTAAGCTGTCAGAATCAAAGATCGCCTGCTACCACAGATGGTGTTACCATTGTCTGGCTCTGATTCATGATGTACTCTCTCAAACTATAATGAACAAGGATGCGTTTATATATTATTCACATTAAACATGTTCTCTTTTCTCATAAGCTTTTGTGACAGTTGCAGTTTTCCTAAATGTATTGTGGGCGAACCAGAAAATGAGCAGTTGTCAAATATTTCACACCTCAGAATAGAAAGGCCTAAAATAAATTGGCAAGGAACTCCAAGCCACTTCTGGTCACACTGTGAGTTTGTTTTTGTATTGGTAATGAGGAACAGAATTTGTGCTGTCAAGATTAATATCCATTGCACAGATTTATACAGCAGGGGCTAGTCACTACTGTTTTAAATCCATTTAAACCAACATGTAGTGACCTGATGATACCAGACATAGCAATTTCATAATCAGTACAGATGCTGACTTTCATTGTAAAGTTATGAAATGAGGATTGAAGAACTTGGATGAGGAACAAACCAAGTTATCTTCCTGTGGCTGGCACAGATTTCACTTTACGTTTATGTGTAGAAGCCTACAGTTTTTTCATTGTGCTAAGCACTCTATCACATGCTTGAGGATCATTGTCATTGTTTTGATTCTTTCGCTTGAATGTTTTTCAGTTGCTGACTGTCTGATGGGAGTCTATCTCTTCTTCCTGGGGATATTTGATGTGAAATTTCGGGGCGAATATAACCGGAATGCTCTTATCTGGATGGATAGCGTGGAATGCCGAACGATTGGCTTTCTTGCCATGCTCTCCTCTGAAGTATCTGTTCTCCTCCTCACCTACCTGACACTAGAGAAGTTCCTAGTCATCGTTTTCCCGTTTAGCCATCTGCGGCCTGGGAAGCTGCAGACAGTGTTGGTTCTGGCCTTCATCTGGATTCTGGGATTTGTCATAGCAGCTGTTCCCTTGCTAAATGAAGACCTGTTTGGGAACTATTATGGGCGAAATGGAGTTTGTTTTCCTCTGCACTCTGATAGGCTGGAGAAACCAATAGCCAAAGGATACTCCACAGGGATATTTCTAGGTTCGAATCATTTCACAGATTTGATGTTTACTGATGTGTTTTCATGTATTTCGTAGTTTTAATTATTCTATGAATGTAATATATACTACCAGTCAAAAGTTTGAAATAATTCAGATTTTTTTGTTGATTTTGAAGTCTCTTATGCTCACCAAGGCTGAATTTGTTTTATCAAAATAATATTTTGAAACATCAAGAATTTAAAATAACTGTTTTCAAGTTGAATATGTTTTAAAATGTAATTCTTTCCTTTGATGGCAAAGTGTATTTTCAGCTGTCATTACTGCCAGTCTTCAGTGTCACATGATCCTTCAGAAATCATTCTAATATGCTGATTTGGTACTCCAGAAACATTTATTATTGTTATCAATGTTGCTGTCAGTTGTGCTGCATAATATTTTTGTGGATATACTGTGATACATTACAATTTAAAAGTTTGGGGCAAGTAATGTTTTTTTTCTGTTTTTATAAGAAATTAATACTTTTATTCAGCAAGGATGCATTAAATTGTTAAAAAGTGACAGTAACATTTATAATATTACAAAATATTCCAATAAGCCGTTCTTTTAAACTTTTAGTTCATGAAATTCTCGAGTAGGCTACACAGGGCTGTCTGGTCACCCTAAATTGAGTATCCACAATTCAAATCATCACTTTCCTATGTCAGTCCTCATGCACATCCTGAAATATTTGTGTATTTTGTATTTACAGGTCTTAATCTGGTGGCGTTTTTGGTGATTGTCATTTCCTACTCCAGCATGTTCTGTTCCATCTGTAAAACCGGCATCAATGCCACAGATGTGCGCAGTCGGCTACACAAAGATGTGGCCGTGGCCAACCGCTTTTTCTTTATTGTGTTCTCTGATGCCCTCTGCTGGATACCCATATTTTTGGTCAAAACACTCTCTCTGCTTAATGTTGATATTCCAGGTATGTAACCTGTATATCCTCTGGTGGAATGTATCCTTTTTTTTTACATGCTGTAGTTAAAACAGAGGCAAGTTTCTTTATCAGTATTTGATTACATTTGCATTTTTACCTCTGTTGTGGTTAAAAACAGTGTAGTTATAAAGTTTTTACAGAAAATATTGTTCATGAATACTGATGGTGAATAATGTATAGTGCAATGACGGTGGCTAGCTATAAGACTGGGATTAGACATTTTGCACAGATCTTCAGCCCTGTAACATTTAGAATTTATTTCAGCTGGCGCAAAAACATTTTTTTTTTTTTTTTTTGAAAGACAAATATCTTCAGTTATAATGTGCAATTTATAATAAGGAGCACAAAAAAACTAATATGAGTTATATATTAAAATAACAGTTTTAAATTTGTAACAATAAATATTTGTTCCTGGCATTTTAGGCCTTGACTTTAAAATAAAATAAATACAATTCAAATAAAAGTTCAGCAGTAGCCTTTCCAAATTGAATAAATTTCAGTTTTTTTTGTTTGTTTGTTTTTTGTTTGTATGCACAAATGGAAAAATGTTTTTTTCTGAAAATGACCCAGCTACCTCTGGTGCCCTGTAACATTTAGAATTTATTTCAGCTGGCGCAAAAACATTTTTTTTTTTTTTTTTTGAAAGACAAATATCTTCAGTTATAATGTGCAATTTATAATAAGGAGCACAAAAAAACTAATATGAGTTATATATTAAAATAACAGTTTTAAATTTGTAACAATAAATATTTGTTCCTGGCATTTTAGGCCTTGACTTTAAAATAAAATAAATACAATTCAAATAAAAGTTCAGCAGTAGCCTTTCCAAATTGAATAAATTTCAGTTTTTTTTGTTTGTTTGTTTTTTTGGAAAAATGTTTTTTTCTGAAAATGACCCAGCTACCTCTGGCCCAGTGTATTACAGAATTTAAGATTATTAGTACAATCAGTTCTTCTGTTGTTAACATGAATGCCCTATGTTTATCTCTGCAGGGACAATAAACTCCTGGGTGGTGATTTTCATTCTTCCAATCAACAGTGCTCTTAACCCCATCCTCTACACCCTGACCACCAGCTTCTTCAGAGAGCAGGTGGAGCTTCTCCTTTGCCGCTGGCAGCGGCGCTCGGTGCCAAAGAAAGACCGTAAGAGTCTCACCAGCTCCACCATCTACATGGAGACCTCTCGCAATGCTGAATACCCAGCAAAAATTCCCTTGCCACGACTGTCTTTGGCAGACATGGATAACCAATATGGGTGAAAGAGTCAGTGAGTAAATGGTATCATACTCATTATCTATGTTCAGACAGGAGAATGACAGTCTTTGCTGGAACAATTTAGGTAAAAGGATGGAACTGTGATTCTTGCCGTTTGGGTTGCAGTATAGAGTGCTCTTTTTAGACACATGACTCTAGCTTCACTTTTTTTTCCATTAGGAGAAGCATTTATGATCACTTTAGCTAGACGAGAGCCTCGGACCCCTCCAGCGTCCATTTCCTCCCTAAACGCCATGTCTGGCTCACAGCCCCTGAGCTGAGCTTGTTGTTTGTCTCAAAATAATTTTAAAGAAGAAAATCAATGACTACAAAACGCAATGCACAAGACTGTCAGTATTTACTGCAGAATACATCTTAGAGGGATCCAAGGAACTTTAAATCATTATTTACATGAAGGGCATGTTTTAATGGAAATGTTTTGATATGTGGTTTTGAGGTTGAATTTGAGAAGTTATTTGTAATATACAGCAAATGTTTTTTTAATGCTTGCTCTGCCATTTCACAGAAAAGACACATTAAAGGGAATGCCTCTAAATCATTCCTGACTGAACAGAAGCATGCGATCAAGATAAAGTGGTGCATATCATTCAGTTATATAAGATAATACATTGTTGTTGTTGTTTTTTTTTACAATGATGCAAAAGCATTTCATATTTATACTCATGTAGACTATTTATAAGTTGGATTTTTTTCTACCCACCTCAAGATATGTGAACAAATATTCAAAGTCAGATGTAAATATGTTAATAGTTTGAATGCTCATGGAATTTAACAAGCAATGTATAATCGACAATCTGAAGAAGTCCATCTACCAGTGACTCTAGCAAGTCAAGGATATCCTTGTACACCGAAAAAAATGATACAATTTATTTTAGCTACATTTAATAAAAAAAAATAAGTTGAAAGTTAGTCAACTAAATGTAGCTAATAAATTGATTGCAACCACTTACCTTCAATTTTTTTTAGTAAATTCAATGAATCATTTTTTTTCAGTGTACTTCAATCATTGTATATGACACAGTGTTTTTATACTCTTAGTAAAAAAAGCCTGTTGATTGTTTATAAATTATCATAAAAGACAAAATACCCCATGAATGAGTGATCTTTCTCAAATTCTCGTGTTTGTGCAGTTTTTCATAATGTATATCACACACACAGCTTACACTGCTGGTCAATAGTTTTTCAAAATGTTTTTGAAAGAAGTCTCTAATGCTCCCCAAGGCTTATTACAATTTGCACATGATCCAATTAAGCAGCAAAAACTGTTTTCGGTATTAATAATAATAAAAACCATTGTTATTAATTGAGAAACAATAGCAGCCTAATTGATAACAGACACAAAACAGCATATTGAAAATTAATCATAAGCATTTAACACGGTTTTGAATTTTTGATCAAATAAATGCAGCCCTGTGAGCAAAGACTTATTATTAGACTGGTAGTGTATACATTTTTGCTCATGTAAAGTCTGATGAAGTTCTGATCATCAGTTTTGTACCATTGGTATACTACGCAATTAAATTACAACATGTTTTCAAACTGCATTGGGAGCGACTTGAAGAGAAACTCCAATTTGCAGTTTTAATGAAATTGTGCTCTTTTAAAGGTAGACTCCATTAAAATATTACATTTGATGCTTTTTGTCTGGGTTGTTTGCCACTGTGCACCTGTCAGTATCCAGCAGCATCCATCCAGCCGCTCCAGAACCTAATGGATGGAAGGAAACAGACGGGTTTGCTTCTGTGCCAATCAGCGATCTCCATTTCTCTCCTTTGGTAAATATCTGCGCTCTGATTGGTCGCCAAGGGCGGAGCTGCGCCATCCTCAGCGGTCGTCTTTTTCTGCCAGTCGATGCGAGACGCAAGACCAGTGAAGTGAAAATAGCAGAATTGAGCGACGACGCTTGGATAAAGATATGAACATATAAACTGCTGTATAAGAACACACAAGGTATTCTGTTTTGTGCTCGATGCTTTTACGGTGTGAAATGTAATCGTGTTTTCATTCCAGTGCTCTTTCATTTGTGAAACCGCCTAAAATTGACGAAGAAGCCGTGAGGAAGGCCAGACCAGCAGCACAGATTGTGTTTGTTTGTCTGTTGTTGATAACAAACACAACACAACAGATTTGGCTTCAAATTGTCACTTGCATAATTACAAATATCTTGTGTTCTCTAAATGATTGGCATCGGCGTTCTGGGTTCACGAAGCTGAATAAACGTAACGTTAATTTACATGTAGCTGTAATCGAGATAGATGTCTGCGGTGATTATGACAATGTAATAGTGGATGGCTGTGCTCAAAACCGAGTGTGCTGCCTACCTAGACGGCATTTGTGGACAGCACGGCGTGTGCAGCTTTTGTCAAAGATACGCTGAAATTCCGCGCGTGACGTAAATATTGAAAACATGTGGTTTAATTTTGCGCGCTTATGAGACACACATCTAAGTTACTCATGACACAGTTCATCACGACCAAGCATCAACGATAATATATTTTACCTTCAGGAAATTGGATGATTTTGTATTCTGCATGGCAGCAATCGCCTCCTCCTCCTTTGTCTAAACAAGGTAAGTCGTGACAGATCCCCCCCCCCCATTATTTAATTACTAATTAATAAGTAAAAATATGTCACATCTGTGGAGCACCCTGGAGTTTTGCAGTAGCAATTGCATTAGCATTGTTTCATTTGTGCAGTTAATTATATTGACGTGCAATATATGTGACATGGATACTGTAATGTAGATGACATTTGTTACTATCTTGAATAATTATATTCCGTCAGTTATTTATGTGCTTTCACCAGGGTGTAGTAAATGTACATGTAAACTTCATTAACAAAGACTTTAGATGCAAATCCGTTTTATTTACATGAAAAAGCCACACTGAACATCAAGCATTCGAAATCTACATATAAAAATAAATAAAGATTTTAAAAGATCAAACAACGAAAATATGATATATGTGTGTGTGTGTGTATAGAGAGAAATAGATAGTAGAAACATTTTATAATACTCTCAGACTTTTGGAGCTCCCTTTTTTGTTACTGTATGCCAGGTTGCTCATACTTCAGTTGTTTTGATACTCATAGGTTCCAGTAAGGATTCACTGGGCACAAACAGCTTTTGCATCTGTGCTTTATTCATTACGTGTAGTTCAGACAAACGTAGGCAGCCGGCATTGCTCACTTCATTGCTCTGAACCATGTGTGTTTACTTGAGGGTTTGTAAATATTTACATTCAGTTGCTGAAACCATTTGTGAATGCATTTCATTTTGCTTGAAATGTTTTGCTAATCATTCAAATAATCTGTAATATATGCTGATCCAATGTGAAGAAAAGCTTGCACAGGTCTGTCAAATAGTCCCTTTAGGTGGCACTCAGCTGTGGGTTTGTGAGTGTGTGGGCACATTTATCGTAGATGATTTGATGTTGTAATTTAGTCTTGGGGCTCATATCCTGCTTTACAATTAGTGAAGAGAATTTCAGTTTTATTTTTACAGTACAAGCCATATAATTGTATATTAAAGGATGCATTTTAGCCAGTATGATACTTTGACTTATAAATCTGTAAAACCTATTTGCATTGTCTAGATGTGTTTAGGTTCTCATGACAAAGAAATGCTTTCTGGATCAGAACTCGCCATACCTGAAGATTGTAGATCATTTTGGGCTTAAATGTGCTTTGTATCTTTTTATCTATGAACTTCAAATTTCCTGTTGGCTTAATAGATTGTTCGAATGTTGTTATTCAAAATCTAAACCACAGTTATGACACCAATTTGTTCTCATAACTAATTATGATTTCCTGAAGGAAATGCATATCTAATTGTTTTACATTCTTTCTGTAGCGCTTCAGAAGAACACACATTTCACAGTTACTGAGAGATTTGACTGAATGTGTGACGCGCAGCCCACTTAGACATTACGTAATCGTAGAGAGATGGTCTTGGTTATTGTGTGTAGGTTAGTAGGTGCTTACAGGATTTTATATAACAGCTTCTGGCAGGTAGTTTTTAGAAACAGAAGTGAGAAATGTGTGCATTTGAGTCAAGCCAAAGTGCTATGGTGAACAATTTTTAGTCAAGAGCTGTTCATTGTTCAGCTGCTGTACCTATATTGTGTACTGTATGTCTCTCTTCTCAGTCTGGCTGTTTTTCAAAGCTCAAGTCATGAATTATTAACTGGGGAGTAAGAGCTGCAAAAAAGGAACATAGCCATAGCAACACTGCATTGTTTTTCATCTCTATCTCCATCAATCTTCACATCCCTCATCTCGAATAGTTTATCTTTTTGTGATGTTTCTCAGGCTAATAAGCAATGAGAGTGATGCACAGTTGCAACCCTAGTGCTGATCACACATTGTAATCTACTCAAAAGCCCAACAACAGAATCATGAAAAAAAATCACTTTTATTCTTAATAATTTTAAGAATAAAAGGTTTTGTTTATTAATAATAGATAACATTAACAATGAAAGACAATTATAGTGATTTCTTATTTAATATTATACTTTCAACATTTACTAATAAATTTTTTATGAAAGTTGTATCTCTTTACATTAATGTAATGTGAATTAAAAATGTGCAATTGTATTTTTATTAGCATTAACAAATATTAATGCTGAAAAAAGTTGCTCATTGTGAGTTTGTTAGCTAATGAGTTATCTAATGTTTACAAATTACGTCTTATTGTAAAGTGTAAAGTTGTAATGTGTTACTATAATCATTTTAATGCTTTTACATACTTTATGCTTTAAGCCATTACATTTGATGTAAAGTAATGTTCAAAACTTTTTATTCATCAAATAATCCTGAAAAAAGTGATGTTTCTTGAGCAGCACATCAGCATTTCAATGAATTCTGAAGAACCGTGTGAAACTGAAAATTGAATCTTAAAATTAGTTATGGTTGAAGTTATTTTAATAGCATAGGATAAATAAATAAATAATATTGGAATAAACCCATGAACTGTACCTCTACTGAGCTCTAGAGGGCAGCCACACACTTCATTTAAATCAGTTTTTGAGAGAAATGTTTGTAACATAAACTCTGCCTTTTTTCTGTTCTTGTTTCTCACAGTTGTTGCCACTTTATGTCAGAGAAAACCGATACATCCACCCCTTTTACTAGGTTTCACCATTAAATCTACAACACCACATTAAAAAAAAGAAAAAAGAAAATCAAATACAAACAAATCTTTCGATCTTCCACCAAGCTTTCATGCCATTTTCACAGTTGCTAAATCACAGTTCCGCTTTGCTTTCAGGGCACTTTAACTAAAGAGCTTTTGAAACATGACACTACTAATGCATAAGATGTTGTGTAAATTGTTGAGAGAGATCAAATCAATAGAAGAGCATTTCAAAGTGCCCTTGAGATGAAGAGAAGACAGACGAGTCAGTTATTGTCTATAAAGGATCAGCCTTTATAAGAAAACAAGACTAAACTAACTTGTCAAAATGTGTAAATATGGACATTTCACTATGTGAAATCACTTGACAGTGTCTCAGAATGGCTTTCTTTGTGGACGGCATGTCCGTGTGGCATCACTCTTCTGTCAGACCAGTCCTAACTGCCATCTGAGGAATGTGATATCTGAAGATCACTAGCGAGTACATAAACACAAACCCTGCCTTGATGTGGTGATCACGCATTTGTGCGCGCTGCAGTCTGGAGTTCTAGGTTATCTCCTGTAATTAGGCTGCGCCAATTAGGTGTGCTATTTTGGGGTGGGCCAGTGGTATTTGCAGGGTTCTTTGTATTTTTATCTGTGTTACATAAAGACGGCACACATTTTTGAGGGATGGGATGATGAGTTTTCATCATGTTTTCGTCCTGAGGGGAGCTACTCAAAAACAGAAA